GAGTATTCGTATTTTTAGAAAGTCCAAAGTCCGATATTTTGATTTTTCCATTTTGAATCAGTATATTATTAGAATGCTAAATGATAAAATTAAAATGTTAGTGACTCACATAAGAGAAATAGATCACCATTATACTATAAATTAAATAACCACCAGATCTCGATGAATAACATTTTGTGCATGAAGGTATTCTATTCCAAGGGAAATTTGCATTGCAATGGCTATTTTCCCATTCCAATTCATTTTCGAGAAATTTTCCTCCAAATACCTTTGAAGGGTACCACCGTCAGCATACTCGAGGATGATGACGAATTGTTCTATTTTAAAATTGTGAATGTAATTAGTCTTGTTTGTGATAACTCTTAATTCTTCTCTCGAGGTAACCTACCTTCATGGCAACTGTATCCATGAAATTTCAAAACGTTTTCATGGAAGTTTAATCTTTTATATATTTTGAGCTGAAATGGAGAAATGGAAATAATAGTTACAACCAATAATTATAACTGGATGCACTATTATACAAGCGATAATCATACCTCATTTAACAAATTTTTACAATCTTGATCCGTTACTTCGCGTACACGTTTTATAATTTTCAATGCAACCGTGCTGCCAAGATCCGGAGAATCACATTTCGCTTTGAAAACCTTAGCAAAGCCTCCTTCACCGATGTAAGCCATTTCAGAAAAAATTGAGCAATCATGATATCTCAAATCATAATTCTGAAGGTGATTTTCGATGAACTCTTTCAAAGTAGAATTAGGAAATCCCTCGTCTCCTCGTATTGACATTTCTTAAAGAGATGTTGAAGAATTTAACTGTTAGAGTGGGTAAAAAAAAAAAAAAAAAGGTCTGGCGATTGGAAAAACTGTGTAATAATTACTATACGTACACGCCAAATGTGCGCGCGCGCACATTATCTTTATATACAGTATAACCAGTTCTAACCGGTTTACTATCGGTAAAGTTAGTCCTATCTATTTTTCTTTAAGAAGTCTATGATAGAAATAAATAAATAATTAATTAATACGTAAACAAACCACAATCCAAAATAGGGA